TCATATAGTTGTTGAATGAGGCGGATAAAGGTTTGCGGTACTCCGTAGTATTGAAGCAGTTTCCAAATTACTTCTCGGTCGACGCTGTCAAAGGCCTTCTCAAAGTCGATGAAGTTGAGGTATAGAGCTGATTGCCATTCTACGCTCTGTTCTATGATGATACGAAGCGTTGCAATTTGGTCAGCACATGATTTGTACTTCCTGAAGCCTGCCTGTTCCGGTCGCAGTTTTGAATCCAGTGCGTCTTTAAGCCTCTCCAGGATGATGCGGCTTAATATTTTACTTGGGGTGGACAGGAGAGTGATTCCGCGCCAGTTCTTGCAAGCACTGAGGTCTCCCTTCTTCGGCAGTTTGACAAGGTAACCCTTCTTCCAATCGTCAGGTACCTTCTCTTCCTCCACACCTTCTGCAATAGTGGTGTGAGCATGTCCGCTGTTGTCTCTGCATCTGTTCTCAGTGCTTCTGGCGGTATTCCATCTGGTCCTGCTGCTTTCCCGCATTTCAGTAGCTTTATGGCGTTCAGGACTTCCATTTTCGTTGGGGGATTTATGTTCACTTGTAATTCAGCGGCTGCAGGTGGTATTTCTGGACGAAGTGCAGGTGGTGGTCGATTCAAGAGCTTCTTGAAGTGGTCGGCCCATCGTTTCCTCTGTTTCTCTTCTTTTGTAATTAAATTTCCTTCTTCATCTTTTATTGGTTTCATCTGTGTTGGTCTCTTCCCTGATAGCAACCTGGTTATTTGATACAATGTCGTCAGGTCTCTCTTACCTGCAGCCTGTTCTGCTTCACTTGCCAGTGTTTCGTAGAAGTGTCTTTTGTCTTTGCGTGCACTCTTCTTCACTTCTTTGTCCAGTGTTTTATACATTGTGCTCAGTTCCTCTTGTCGTTGAGCATCCTTGCACTGGTTTATCTTCTGCTTCACCATCCTCCTCTCCTCTATCAGCTTCCAGGTATCCGTCGAGATCCATTCCTTGTCTTCTTTCTTCTTCCTTCCTAATACTGTTGTGCAGGTTTCTTTCCACATAGCTTTCAAAGACTTCCAGTGTTCTTCCACACAGGTTTCTTCAGGGATGTCCCTCGACGTCTCCCATTTTGTCTTGATGGCTGCCTTGAAGATCTCCTTTGTAGTTTCATCCTTCAGTTTCCGAGTGTTGTACTTGAATTGAGGTCTATCACCAGCTTCCTTGAAGGCTTTTAACTTGATTTGGAAGGTTCCTTGCACTAGATAGTGGTCTGAACCTACATCTGCTCCTCTTCTTGACCTTGTGTTAAGTAGACTGCGTCTCCATTTTCTTGAGATTGAGATAAAGTCGATTTGATTTTTAGTGTGTCCATCTGGTGAAGTCCATGTCGCTTTGTGGATATCCTTGTGCCTGAACACACTGCCTCCAATCACCAAATCGTTGAATGCACAGAATTCTGCAAACAATTCTCCATTCTCATTCATTTCACCTAGCGCCTCTCGACCCATGGTTAGTTCTCTTCCCGTGTTGTCCCCTCCCAGTTTGGCATTCATGTCGCCCATTAGAATTTTGATATCGCCAACTGACGTCTTGTCCAGTGTTGACTGAAGTTGTCTGTAGAATTCCTCCTTTTTCTCTTGCTCTGCATTATTTGTAGGTGCATAACATTGTATGATTGTGACCTTTCTTCCTTTTGAGTTGAATCTTGCTGTCATGATCCTGGAGGAGATTGGTTCCCACTGCATGAGAGCCTTCGATGCTCTTGAGGACATCATGATAGCCACTCCCTCAGTGTGCTCGTGGTTGGCGTCTGGGTGACCGGAGTAGATTATTGATTCTCCAGTTGACAGTTTGGAGAGTCCACTCCCATTCCATCTGCTTTCGCAAATCCCAAGCACTTCGATGTTATACCTTCTCATCTCCTTTGCAATCTGGGCTGCCTTACTGGGTTCAAACATCGTGCGGACATTCCATGTCCCCACGTTTACTTTCGCTTTCATCGAGAGAAGACACATCGGCCAATTGGCTTCCCGAAGGCTTTCACCAACTGGCGTCATTTCGCCTCTCCGATTCCAGCGGGGAATAAGTTTGTTTTCATTTTTTATATTTTGTTTGTGCTTTGAAGTTTCTTTAGCGGTTAGATTTGTTTTACGGGGTAGGGTTGCTAGCCCTATGCCCAACCTTCCCTCTTTACCCGGGCTTAGGACCGGCTAGTAACTAGTAAACTAGTTAACCAGGCGAGGTTTAATTGGATCAATAGGAACTTTTAATTTACAAAGCTTGTTTCTAAGTGAGTTCGTAGGTTTAAATGCCACTCTAATCCCAGTCAGACTTATTGAGATGTCTTCCTCATATGGTAATACTGTAGAGGTATGGAATACTCTCTCTACACACCATTGCCACTATTATTACTATGATTAACCACTGTGTTACTAAAATTAGTCGTATTTTTCTTCAGATTAGTAAGGAACTTATTAGCCAGCTTAGGAGGGTAATTGCTGATGAGTAAGATGTTTTTAATGTATCTGATTTCATGTCTTGAAACCTTCGATTTCACGAGTATGTCTTCTAGTCGTATTACCTAGACATTTTTTACTCTTATATTAACTTTACAGGCAGATGCTTCACCGTACACTATAAGGTTTCTTAAATATTAGTCACATGAGTCAACAAAAGTTTATAAAACAAACAATGTGATCGAAGAAATATTTCTTTTCAATTAGTTCCTCATCAATAGCTCTACACTAATATACGCAGCATTTTCAAAACTTAAAATTATATACCAATCTAGTGATAAGAGTTGTTTACTAGTTGGTTACTATTCTCAAAGTATCAACACGATGATAATTGATCAGGTAATGAAGACAATTAACTAAAGTATAGATGAATTATAGTAGAAAGATTTTGTGAAAAATTTAAACAGGTTTTTACATCATTGATATTTTGTATAATGATTACTAAAGAGCGAAAGTGAATTGCTACGTCAAGTGGTAAATTGTTGACGGTGATTAGAGACAGGAGAGGGATAACAAGATGGATAAAACTGTAATAACAATGCCAATAACAATAATAATAGAGCTATCGAAATACTAGTTATAATCCATTGTGGAATGAATGAAGGGTCATGTTGTAATAAATAAGCTACACAGGTGGGCAAGGCAAAGGAAGAGGCTGTAAGAATTCCTTGTGAACACATAGACTTGGCTTGTTTAGGTGGATTCCGATGGCTTCTGCTGTATGTTAAAGACGAAATTGTAGAGCATGGGTGAAATTAGAAGGAATATGACAAATAACTTTAAAGGTGTTATGAATATTGACTCAGTGACTAGTGTCAATCAGATGAGAGAGCATTTAGCTTCGTATCGATCTGGTTCGCCCTTTACTTAACCATGAAGGATGATACTCAGCGATTCGATGAAGGACTTGCCTAACTGAAGGTTTGATGTAAGTAGCTCTACAGGAGCAGTTGAACTGGTAAATGCACATAGAAGAGGAGAAGTCAGGTAGTCTTTGATTCACGTGGTCATCATCGGCCGACTGTAGAATACACAGCATAACTCTTTGTGGCATTAAATGATCTTCTTATGGAATTTCTTAGGCGTTGTGTCACAATTTCGCTGATGATGTTACCTCGAAATTGTAGTCTTAGAAACAATGATCTCTTGGAGACTGTTGGTATTCTGGTTTTCACATTAGACATGTCCATATTTTTAGCCAGAAACGTTTCTGGATATCCATTACTACTAAGCAGATCGTGGATAATTTGCTCTTCGTCAAAAGTATCATCTGAATAGATGAGCCTATCTCGATGGACTAGATTACGTTTATATTCCAAGGGGATGAAACTCAAGAAGTGAGTGTACTGAACTGCTGACATTGGTTTCCGATGTACACTTGTCTTTACAGTTCCACCAATCTTCCTGGTCAATCGGAAATCTAAGAAGGTAATGCTGTCGTCGCCTTCTGTCTCAATGATGAAGGTTATCGTTGGATGGACGCTATTAAATTTATCCAGTATAATCCTTGCATCGTTCTTGTTGTTCACAATCAAGAATATATCATCAACAAGTCCCACAAATGAATGTAACTAATATTTTAATACCTCTATTGTTATTATTACCATTAAAGTTTTATCCATCTTGTTATCCCTCTCCTGTCTCTAATCACCGTCAACAATTTACCACTTGACATAGCAATTCATTTTCGCTCTTTAGTAATCATTATACAAAATATCAATGATGTAAAAACCTGTTTAAATTTTTCACAAAATTTTTCTATTATAATTCATCTATACTTTAGTTAATTGTCTTCATTACCTGATCAATTATCATCGTGCTGATACTTTGAGAATAATAACCAACTAGTAAACAACTCTTATCACTAGATTGGTATATAATTTTACGTTTTGAAAATGCTGCATATATTAGTGTAGAGCTATTGATGAGGAACTAATTGAAAAGAAATATTTCTTCGATCATATTGTTTGTTTTAGTAAATGTCTAAATGGGAATATTTGCATTACTGAATAGTTCAAAAACTATATTAGATACTAGGATGACCAGTTGCTCATTATACACAATATTATGCCTCCAGCCGCTTCAATTCGGTTATACAACACAGCATAACAATGAAAACTTTGACTGTTGGTTTGACTAGACGGTTAAGCTTCACATGACAACAGAAACCAAAAGAATCAATGTCATCACTGGAGCAGATGTATCCACACTTTTTCTTCATCTTAACTGCTATGCTAAATTCAGCATTTTCTCATTCCTCCTTTCTTTTCTTTTCTTTTTTTACTGCTTTCGATCGATTAACTTTTCTCTCTTTTTTCATCTTGAATCCTATTACTTTATTACTTAATGTATGGATATGAAGTATTGCTACTTGAACCGCTACGCAGTAATGCTAGATCCTACGTTGATATTGATTACCTACTACTTCACCAAACAATATCCGACAGATTTCAATGTAAATCATTTCGTAAACTGTGAGCATAATCGAGCGACAAATACTTTGAAGAGAAAGACTCTGATCGTACGAATACTTCACACACACCCACGCACACACACACAAAGTGATATTATACATAGTTACACTACACAGAATATATACACATTCAAAAAGACCATTCTTCTGTCTCACTAGAAAATAATTTTTTACAGATATTGATTATATAAAAATGAACTATTGAATCAATTAACTTCAACCTTCTAACTCAGTTTTTTTCTTATTCCATAGTGTTTCAACCAAATTATGCTGCTCTTTCACCAATGTACGCAAATATTGACGAGCTATGAATAGATTGTCTTCACTTAACTGTTCTTTAGCCTGTTTAGAATTTAACAGTTTATTGTGTGTTTGATAAACTTTATCCATTTCATGTATAGCTTGATGTAATAATTCTTTTCCTATTCATTGAATCCACAGACAGGGAAAGAGAGAGAGGGGGAGAGAAATATGGAAAAAGGTAACTTTATAGACATCAAATCCATACAACAATAGAATAAACAGTATTCGATTTAGAGTTTCATCAGGAGATGACTAGTTTCAAAGCAATTTTTGCTATCAATAGATTTTAAACAGAGAATCGATAAAAAGTATAACCTATTAGATAATTGTTTCTTTGCTGTTTTATACTCACCATCCTTTATTGTAATCAAGTTGATGACTAGAAGTACGTAAACCAGTTACCCTTTAGCTATTGGGTTGAAATAAGATGGTCAATGTTTTATATCTGTTAATTTGTAATATGCTACAACCATTATTCAATGGTAATATGAGTGAATATCTCTTTCTCCCAACCAATTTTATGTTGTCTAGTTTTGATCGAATTCTAATGATCATTTTGCAATGTTCCCCGTCACTACCATCTAACTTGGTAGCCACATTTCAAAAATGATCGATAGAATTCAGTTAGTAGTTGGTTGCTCTCCTGTGACCAATTAATGTATGTAAATCAGTCCTACGGGAGATCAATCACCTCCCAAGTAGTTCACTGGTAACGTTGCTAACTACAACACTGGTTAGGTGAGATGGGTTCGAATCGTAGGTGGGATATCAGTTTCTTCAAGGCTGCTGATGGGTACCAACCACAGATTCCCACCGATTGCCTCCAACCAACTAGTGCTTACAATTTTCTGCCTCAATAGGTAATATGCATACTGATATTTCGATCTTCGATGAAGAAAAAACAGAACAAGATTTTCATGATTGTATTGTATTCTCTAAGTTGAGTTCACTTCATACTGAAGTTAGTGCTGATGATGTCATCTAGGAAAAAGACGATGAACGCTTCATGATTAAACAATCCAGCTCAGAGAACACAATACAACCAAAACCATCCACCTGAGCTACAAATATTCTCTACCATTTCAAAACAAGATTATTTTTTATAATATCTAAATTAACAAAACTTTAAAAGTGATTTAGTTATCCATAAGCTGTTCGACTGTTTTTGGTAGTAATCCACTGAAACCCATAAACTTCAGCTTTGGTACTTATCAGCGATTGGAGGTAAGACTCATTCACAAGCATAGTAAAATTTAAAGTTTCCTTTAAAACATAAAAATTCTATTATCATACGACAGTGCAGTAGAAACCCTAACTGTTAACTGCCTTATCCTCAGAAGATCCAGCCACTAGAGCGTTACTTTGTTTAGTCATGGTTGAAAAGTTGACAGAATAAATGATTAGATGGAAAACATCTTTATTCTGGTAAACTGAAGTATTTGACAAAGCTGAGACTAAATAGTTCACAGAACCACAATAAAAATAAACTTTTATAAACTTTCACATTAAAAATTGATCTGATAGAGTTGAATAAGTTGAGCATACTGGGTAAATGGATTATAAATGAAATATATATTTATAAAATCTCAATGAAAGCTCAGTGATGCCTTTGAAGTGAAGAAAGGAGTAAAACAAGGCTGCCTACTATCACCCATGATAGTCCTGATTGTAGTGGACTGGATCATGCAACAGACCATGAGGAGCGAGAAGAGAAGGATACGCTGGACCGCAGAAAAGATGCTGGAAGATGTGGATTTCGCCGATAACTTGTGTCTAATATCACACAAACTTGAAGATCTACAGGCGAAAACTAACAAGTTGACAGAAGAGGTAGGGCAGGGAAGACGGGACTTCCTTCAAGTGAACGTAGAGAAGTCAGAGGTTATGACGAAACCCGACCAACAACACTACCAACAACAACAAACTCCAATCACCATCAATGGGAGAAACTTGAAAGAAGTAGCCTCTTTCACCTATCTTGACAGCACTGTTTCAACTACAGGCGGCACAGACGAGGACGTCAAAGTCAGTCAGGATCGGAAACACAGCAAGACAGGCGTTCATTAGCCTGAAACCAGTGTGGTAATCTTCTGCACTCAGCATGTGGAAAAACATCCGCATTTTCAACACCGATCCAGTCAAGTCAGTGCTCCTGTGTGGCTCAGAGACTTGGCACGTTATCAAAGGCATTTCCAACAAATTACACACATTCATCAACAACTGCCTACACTGGCTCGTTACTGAAGCTCAGATGGCCAGAACAATAGGAATAAGCAACAGGGAACTCTGGAAATGAACTAACCAAGAACCTATCACTCAACAAATATGCAGAAGGAAGAGAGTGGAGAAGGATTGGGTATACACTGAGGAGGCCGACTGGGGACATCAAGCGTCAGGCCAGGCACTCGAGTGGAATCCAGATGGGAAGCGACGAGTTGGGCGTCCGAGGTGATGGTGACATGTAGGAGATCTCGTGAGGAAGAAATGATAGATTCTGGGCTGTCGTGGAGGCAGGTTCAAAAGATTTCAGAGAACAGAGTGCACTGGAGAAGTGCTACTGAATCCCTATGTCTCAGTAGGAACCCAAGGGACAAATAATAATCATAATAAAAATAACCCCAATGAAGTAGAAAAATAATTTTCTGGTGTTTCGCAACTTCGTGGAAATCGTTTCCTCCGAGAACAAAACCTATATAAGTTATCGGTTGTTTAAGTAGTAAATGATGACGAATCAGACCATATTGTCAATACATGATAATATTAACAATAAGGGTATAAATGGCATTGTTATGTTGGTGAGACAGTTTTCAAACTTGTCCATTATTAGTCTGGAGGTCAAGGTGATGTGGACATGTGCACATGTGACGGGATATGAAAGTGGGGTTACTTTAAAGGCTATCCTAGCAACTGATGAGATAGTCAAATACATTCCTTTATTTTATAAAAAAGGTGAAATACCGAAACTTGATTGGTTATTTCATCAGTTGCTAGGGTGGCCTTTAAAGTTACTCTTGAAAGTGTAAGCACAATACTATGGATGACAAATTCGGTCTGTACTTTTGTTCTGATCATTGTATGTGATGTGCTAGTTTTGGAAATACTCTCCAGGTTGGTTGGATAGTTAGGCATTTTTCTCTCTGTTGACTGAGTGAGAGCATTACGATTCAATATAATGTGAAATACCTCTGCTATTCTTTTTTCTTTGTAATTTCAAAATCCCTTTTGGAATAATTTTAATATTTTCAATATGAATTTTATGACTGTGATAGATGGTATGAACCACGATTGTTGATTTAATTTGTAAATTCTCTAGTTCTACAGGATTATTTGGTGGTCGTTTTCTGTAACTTACATATTCTTTAGCCCGAATGAAGATCTCACAGGATGATTCTCCAATATAATAAGCATCACAATCAATACAATTTTGTGTGGAAGTACAAAGGATTTTATTTTTTATGTCAACTTAAGCATTCCTCAGTGTTGGTTGTCTTGTAAAAGGCTCTAATTCAGTCCTTTCTTAAGATTCTTTGTAGTTTTTTTTTCAGTTATATCATGGCGGGGAAATGATAGAATTACTGTGCTAATCCAAGTATCATTATTTGAGCAATCGATAACTTGTACAGGTTTCATTCTTTAAAGAAGAGATTTTCACAAAGTTATGAAACGTTAGAAAATTATTTCTCCGCTTCATTGGAAATAAGTGTTTAGAGACTAGACGACAAGACTCAAAGTCAATAGTTGTGGTAAAAATGTACCTGCACTTGATTACACCTCACCTCAATTTACTGTTTTTTTTTATTTACCCTTCACTCTCTACGATAACTGCTATTGTTATTTCGATTTGTTTCTCATCTTTCATGTTGATTTGTTTTTCTCACAAGTGTTGATGTGAACTATAGAACCATATTCGTATTTCTATAATGCCGAGATCTGCTAAACCTAATACAGATTAATTGAATTCAAGTATGTATGTGTTAACTGAATGATGAAATAGTTGAATTGAAGCGCCATAGAAATAAGAAATCCACTCATCAATCCTGTACACATTCATACAGTAAGCAATTGAGTCACACCTATTGTGAGAGGCCTAATAGACACAACCTGAATGTCAAAACTTCGGTAGGTGGAGTAGTTAAAATAACCCCCATCTTCTAGGTGTCAATACTTGAAATAGTTGTGCGTAAGGGTAGAAAAGCTCCAGACAGAAATGAATGTCATGAATTCGCAGGAGGCTATAAGGAATAAAACGGCTTCCGCATCTGTCAATAGCGACAATCGTTAACTTGTGAACATTTGGAATGATGAGTCACAGTTAAAAGCAACGTGATCAAGATCGATTTCCCTTAGGTATCGTTAAATGTTTGGATGGAAAAATTAGTGAAATTCCCTGATTTTTTGATGTATCCGCCACAAAAGACTAAAATATCACCGATAGGAGATATTTAACAAAAACTAACCTTGGGCAATTGCTTTATTTCGACATTCCTGAGTTATAATTGTATTCAGGCGGATAGTAAATGCATAGTGGTCTGTTGGTTCAATTAAACTCTCACCAGAACCATCTTTAGATGGATCCAGAAATGAAATCACCGCCTTTCGAGCAGAAACAAAGAGATCAGGTCTACCGGAAAGATCAACTAGAAGAAACTGATCACCTAAATTAGCTCTGTTCTGAGGCGCACCTGAAGTAATATTTTGATGTGAAGCGTTCTGTTGGAGTAGGTTTGCCACCTGGCCAAGTTTAACATTTCCTTCAGAAAGCTAAAGACGAAGTATGCAACAAAAAAAAATGAAATCAATACCAACCAGTTATGATCAAATCTTAGCCAGACTAGTAAAAGATTAAAATAGCAAAAACCTTTAATGTATACCGTATACAGGTAGACGAACAGGCAAAGTCAACAGAGAATCTTCCACAAAAATAGAGCAGCTCAATCAGGATTATTGCAAAGGGCTTTTCGGCAACCGTCACAAATTAGCAGTATTGATTTCAGGTTGGTATTCATCATAGGAAGATATCAGCTTGAGAACTATTGGAAACCTGAGTACACTGAGCAGCTGTTTAGTACCCGTATGGGACTCCTCAACAGTGCACACCAACGATCCCGCCAGGGATTGAACCCAGGGCCTTCAGTTCCCGCGGCCAGCATGTTATCATTGAGCAGTGCTCAATGACAGATGGTTGAAGTTAGCTACTTATACAGTATACACTATACATGACACGCCAAGCGTTTACCTACCTTTAAACCAATATACTACGGCAGCAATACACTGTGTGAAACCTAACAACAGGAATCTGTTCAAGCCAAGCAGAATAAAAGTATTTTCCAGTAGGTGCTTCTTCAAAAATTGAAAACAGCTAAATACTTGATACCCGTAAGTTCATTACGACTATTAGTAGACAGCAGAACAAGAAGTTGCTTGAAATTGCAGAAGATTGTGTGATTCAAGCTGTCAAAGCAAACCTTTGGATTCAGAAGGAAATGGTAGCCAGTTTGAATCTACAATAGTAGGAATTACAACGCCCAGTGATACAATATTATTTACTTTATGACTTTTCGAGCATAAATTATTCCTGATAATTCATATCTATATAATCACACAACTTTCAACAACCGACTTTTATGGTTCTGTCACCTCATATTTTTTGTTCTTATTGGTAGTAAAATTTTCTATATCTCTGGTATACGTGCTGTATCATTCCTTATACATGTGTTGGGTGTTGACTCGATGGACAAAGAAAATCAGTAACCAATCTCTCTCCCCACCTAATTATGTTGGATATAAGTACAGTGGTTTTATCCAAATCTATTGCTATAGCCAAACTTCTCTTCGAGATTATCGATCTTATTGGGGTCTGCCATTCTATATTTGGCTAAATTCCACCAATCTGACTGACCTATGTAATTGACCTTGCAATCATTACATGGAATTTGATAGATTAGGTTATTTTATTGAATTGGTTTTACCGGATCCTTAAGCTGACAAAGCTTATCTCTGAGTGAGTTTGTAGGCTTAAATGTCAGCCTAATTCCAGCTTCGTTGAGAATTCTACATAAAGTTTCTGATGTTCCTTCCTTATATGGTGACATAATGAAGGTTTCGAAGGAAGGAAAATCAAGAACTTTACGTAGGATTCTCAACAAAGTTGGAATAAGGGTGGTATTTAAACCTACAAACTCACTCAGAGATAAGCTTTGTCGGCTTAATGATCCGATTGAACAAATTAGGCGAAGTAATCTAATCTATCAAATTCTATCTAATGACTAGTTAATTAACCTTATTCTTGTTACCATTGTTCACTTCAATCAACACCTGGATTAGTTACAATGTCATCCATAACTGAATACCAATTAGTTTGTTTTGAATGACGCGATCTACCTTCAACAAAATTAGTTCTCACCCCAGCATGAACATTATTATTAATATCATCATTATTTTCTTATCTGAAATCCATATGATACTTTAGACTACACTACTATCTATCCCAACTCATAATCAATTATGTAACCTATCTTAAACCCACTTAATTTGAGCATCCACTGCTACCTTTTACATTATCACTTGACGTGTGAAAATTGTTCATTTCTATGTTGTTACACTCAGGTCGATATTTCAGTCTACGTTAGATACGCGTCTATGTTTCTTTGCATTGCTTAATGGTACATAAAATGAAGTATGTAGACTATCCAGTTGATGAGTACTACGAAGTCGTTGAATCCTGCTTTTTCACATATTCATTTACTTACTACTTTAGAACGAAAGTAATCAGAAACACTTGTTCAGTATAGTGTAAAATAAGGATAAAGACTGTGTGATGAAAATAAGAAGTGCATCAATCAATCAAGTAGATATCGGTGACGACCTTACTTAAAGCTAGTGTCAAACACTATTAAGAGCAAACATCTTGACTTTCAGACAGTATAAAGCTATACACAATTGCCGTTTTAAAAACTGCTATATATTGTATGAAGGCTGGTGATACTACTTCGCTGCCCAAACCTCGGTAGGTAAAGCGGGGTTAAAACCCATGACCCAATGCTGAATAGTCATCTCCCTAAACTACTGAGGCACATCTCAACCTCAAAAAGTGGAGTGGGATTTGAACGTGTGACCCAGCAGTTGGAATTAGAATGCCTAGACCGACTAACTAACTGAAAAAATCAATGTAGAACCTCACACACATGTGGATCGGCTCAAGTTACTACACTACACAGTAGTACACAAAGAACGGGTGGATAGAAAAAGAGGGATATAAAAGAAGATGAAGCAGTGTGAGAAAATAACCGATTTTAAGATAACCATTAGTATGAATATTTAAGCTTTAGATGTCAAGGAGTGAATACATATATGCCATTGTGACAGACAGTCATGTCACCAGGAGTCCTCAACTATTGATTTCTTTCGTTTCGAGGAGCCCAACCAAGCAATCTACACAGCCCTAAATTACTCGGACCAACAGTGAGAGACTTCATCAATTGGTGCTACGTCTTGATCTGATCACCCTGATCCCTAATCCAACTTTCCCCACCATGCCCACACTGATGAATCATAGCTTTACTCCCTCTCAAGGTATCATCAACTCAAATATCATCAGGTTTAAAAACTATATCATTAGTAAAATGAATTAAATTTTTCGAAAAAGAATAAAAATTAAGTATAGAAGTGAAACTATTCCAATTCTAAAATAAAATGCAATCAATAGAATAAATACTTACAGTAATATCAGAGAATGTCTGTAAAGTCATTCTTAAACTCAGACGCTGAACAAGGGAACTCTGAAAATGCAAGAGAATATTTTGAAACTCTTTATCCATTTTCTCCACTTTTAGAAGCGACAATGCTTCTGGTACGACATCATTCCGGCTGATATTTTTAACATTTACAGTATGTCTTCCTTTAGATTTCCAGCGTACTACTGAATTCATTATTCCATTGTCCAAAAAAATACTCGTTTTATAACCAAATGACCGAGAAATATTGACTGAACAGAAAGTGAGCTTGTAAATGGATAATAGCCGATTCATAATTAAGATGATATGCTATAGATTAATACGACGATAAGTGAGCATATATAAAACAGTTAAGTGGTGAAACAATGCCAGTAATATGAGCCTAAAAAAAAGCACAAAAAAAGATTATAACACGGTGATGTAACATTAAAATAATGAGGAGAAGATTTCCGAAAAACTAGATGTTTGATTAACAATTTCAATAATACTATGTGATAATTGAAGGTGAAGAACTGGCTCACGGCAAAATTCGAACCACCAGCTTCTTGGCTACCAGCAGTTGGGTCTTGCAGCTTATCATCATCATCATCATCATCATCATCATCATCATCATCATCATCATCATCATCATCATCATCATCATCATCATCATCATCATCATCATTATCAACATAGGACCAGGCATTACTGCGTAACAGTCCGAGTTGCCACACCTCACGTCAGTTCATCAAGTAGAAAGGTAGTGAGGTGAAGGATGAAGATAAGTGAATGCAGTCAAAAGAAATATAAAGTACGAGAAGAAAGGAAAGAGGAGTGACAAAATGGTGAGACTCGGTATAGCGTTGTTAAGATGAGGATAATGTGTGTATACATCTGCGTCACTGACATCGGTTCTCAGCCATATCACCTAGGGTCTCCAACCACTGGTTCCTCTTGTCCCGTGGACCCCAACCACCTAGTCTGCATCGTCCTACATGGCTTACAGCTTAGCCAGTACAGCACTAGGCCAGATTTTCATTTCACCTCCAATTGTCACTCGGTTTACTAAATCACGGTTATCTCAGATAGTCAAACTGATGACTAATTTAAATTCCAAAATACGGTGAACTGAACTGCGAGAAAATCAATAGAAATAGAGGTACATAATGAACCAAGACAAAGATGAAAGTGGTGACAGAACAAATAAGCATGGATAAATGAAGCGTTCATGTTTAAAAGGAAGACAATGATCGAATCCGTCCGCTCTTATGTGATCTTTAAATCCTTTTACTTACAACATCTAGCTGCTAATTTTTAGTACTACGACGACTCGCTTTAGGTAGAGAGAACTCTATATGGTTAAAACGAAAAGTCACTGACTTCATGAATTGATCTTGGTTGAACGCTAGTTCAACCGTATTGTAACCAGAACTATCGCAGGAAGCTGCTAATTCTTTTTGGTTCTAACACACACGAACAACTTCTTACAACTTAGTAACTGCGTGCAGGTACGCGAATCAATGGACCATGCCCATAGTATCAAGGTTAACACCACGTCGATAGGTGGAACAAGGTTCCAGTCAGTGAGTACGTTGTCCAGTGAACGGGTCGATGACACCTTTGACCTAATATATGTACACTCCTATAAAGTCGAGAATCATAGCGAGAAAGAGAAACAGAAAGTACTACGAAACTGTGAAGTTACAGGACTGTTAGTGGAAAGAGGAGAAGCAGTAAAAACGATAGAAAAAAATCTGGGTTACAACTTAACTTTGATATCAGTTTTATTCTGTCTGTTTGTTCTTTGTATACTACTGTGAAGTACAGCAACTTCAACTGACGCATGTATGCGAGGTTCTGCGTTGATTTTGTCCCTGATAGATATTAATACAAAATTGCTGCACGTCTCTAAACATTCAGTTTGCTTGTGGCATTTACGAAGGTTTTGGTTGCACGCATTACAGAATTTAACTTATTCGCCTCCGTGGGCTCAAAAAACACGGCCTCTGATTTCACGAGCAATTTTATCATTACAAGCTAAGTCATTGTTGTTGATGCAATCTGTTTCGGGATTTCATCATCATTGACAGTATTTCGAAAACTTCCTGAATTTTAACAGCCCTGAAGAAGTGTATCTTGTACAACCAGGGGCACTAAATTAACATTTTATGCACCGGATAATGATAATGTTACCTAGACCGATGGCTGCTACCTTGACGTGGTAGTCGGGCTTGCATATTACAATGTCCCAACGAACTATGCTGGTAAAACATTTGTTCTCTCGAGGTTTTACCATATCAGAAAGACCTGTTGGATAGTGGTTCACTGCCTTTTTACTTGATGTACTGATACTAGCTGTGGCAACTCGGACCGTTGCACAGTAATGTCTGGTCCTATGTTGATTTGGATGGATGGATGATGGATACTGTTATAGCTTGAGGTAAATAAGCAAAATAAAACAGTAAGGTTTGCAGTCAACGAAAATCCTAATAATCATTTCTTTCAGTTATTTGTAAAAAATATTTTAAGTGAACCAATGTTTTCAACACGATAGTATTGGGTTGTATTATCAACAATAGGGAATGAAACCGAAAGAATCATGTGACACTAACCTACTGATAGTATGAGATAGTCGGACCAAGCCCATTGAAAGTACAGAGTCTGTAAGCACTGTACTTTCAGATTCTTAGAAAGCTTTGAGCAAAGCAAGTCATATCTTTAAGCTTTGGAATTTTCAAGTTGCAGGCATAATGCGGTCTTTGTTAGAAAGGCTAAAAGGCTATCATGAAAATGAGTTGTTAATAATAAGAGTAATAATGTAATGAGAATCATTCTTGTGTATTTAGGTACTAGGCTATGAGCTACACTTACTGTAAAGGTTTATAATAGTACCCGGTCGCCCAGCTCGCAGTAGATGTAGTAGGTTTTGTACCCGGGACCCAATGCTTGAAATTGCAGTTCTCAAACCAACAGACCTCATTAATTAGTAACTTGTTTGGGTTGTCACTGACCTACTGTTTCATTGTCTAATGAGGCCACTTGAAACTCTGTAATCTGCTCTTTGTTATTTCTCGTGGAACAGTGGCTTATTGATCTAGGCAGTTTGAATCCTGCTTTAAATACCAAGGTTTCGGTAGCCACGTAGTATCATTAGCATGAACAGAATAGGTGTCGCTTATAGGCTGATGCATCGACATGTACATAAGTGCTGAGTTGTTAGTGATTTACTTTGTTATGTGTAATCTAATGAACTACCAGGTCATTAAGTGTCTCTTTCACTGCAAAATATTGATTAACTGAGAACTTGGGGGGAAATTAACAAGCCAAAAGACATCTCATATAACATTTGCAAAAACTGTACGAACGGACTCGGAATAATTTACCACAGCTGAATGTTGGTGAGCAATGATGCTAGTGAACGCCCAGTGAACATTAACCCGGAGGGATAGTGGAGATATGCAGAAGTAAAGGTATTGACCGACAAAATCAACTTAGAACTTCACACACATGTACATCGGCCCAACTTACCACACTAAACAGTAGTGCACAAAAAGCAGCTGGATAGAAAAGGAGTGGTATCAAAGATGAAGTGGTGTGAGAGAACAAACAATTTTAAAATACCTGTTAGTGTGAATATTCAAGCTTTAGATGTTAAGTAAATACAAGTAAATACACTTGCAGCATTGTGACAGATTTCCACTCATGTTAACAAGAGTACTCAACCACTGATTCCGATTGTTTCGAGGATCCCAAGCAGGCAGTCTGTACCTCCCCACACGGCTCACACCAACAGTTAGGGACTTCACTGACTAGTGCCATATCTTGGTCTCGTCACTCTGAACCCTCTTCCGATCTAATCCGGCTTCCTGTAGCACGGGACGTCAAGAGAGACGGTGGCTCGGCATGAGCAGTACGTGCCCAGGCCATCTCAGCCGATGAAATTCCACAACATCATCAATCGACTTGGCTGTTTTGTCTAGTACGTTACACCCGACTTCAACATTGCTCACACGGTGATTCCACCAAATGTGAGCGATGTTACGAAGATATCTGTGATCAAAACTCCGCAATCGTCTAACGTCTACTTTTAACGGCCATATCTCAGCCGCATGACAAAACAGAACAGACTGAGGCCCAGCATGCTCGTTTTTGATAGGTAGTCAAATATCTCATCAGATGGTGCAACAGATGGCGTAAGTTGGCGAATGTTTGATGGGCCTTCGATATTCGAGCTGACCAGCCCGTTATGGCTGATGCAACTCCCTAAGTAAGGGATGCTGTCGACATATTCCACCACTTCACTCCCTACCATTAAACTACTCATAGTTGCAGGAGATTAGTCCTGGAGCATCATCATACACGTGACAGGCGTGAAACTCATGCCAAACATACTCAGATCTCTGCGCAACGCGTCTAGAAGACCCTGAATTTTGTCAACGTCTTCATGTAGCAGAACAATATCGTCTGCATTCTCCAAGTCAACCAAATAACCTGCAGAGAGTAGGTCAATTTCCTCTGAAGCCGGACATATACAAGGTTATGTCTATTGGTACGTCAATGATAAAATTAAATAGGAACGGTGACAGTGAGCATTCTTGGCAGATACCATTAATTGTCGTCAATTCTGAAGACAACTCTGCATAAACCCGTACACGGCTGCGTGAGTTCGAGTAGAGAGCCTTGATTAGCGTTATACACTTACTCGGCACTTCTTGCAAAAGCAAAAAGCCATAACACCTCAAGGTTCACATAGTCAAATGCCACCTTAAGGTCAAGAAATATGGCAAGTCTTAGCCACCAGTAGATATTGCATTATTCGGCACTACAATTGTAGCCCGCTGCCTCACCTTTGCAATGAATTTTCCTGGCACCGAAACGCAACCAAGGATAAAACAAATATATTAACTTGAATTAACTAGATAAACCTCTACCTGAATTTCTGGGCTACCATAAAATATGTATGGCTTTCTAAAGATAAGAGGAATGTACACGCAATAAGATATGTTGAGGATTAACACAACTGTATTAATCCTTCAACAGATCTTATCCGGAAAAGTTGTGGACTTAGTTACGTCCACGATTTCTCCTGGAACCAAAAGTCGGAGTGTGAACGCGAATGTTAACTTCCGCGAAAGTACCGTTTGCAGCTAAACAACGCTTCCAAAAACTATGACGGTTTACGTATATATATATATATATATATATATATATATATATATAATATTACTTATATATGTATATTTACGTCCACAGATTAGCTGCAACTGCTACTAGGAAGAATTAGATAACAAGATATGGCTTTAAAACCTCGCCTGGTTAACTAGTTTACTAGTTACTAGCCGGTCCTAAGCCCGGGCAAAGAGAGAAGGTTGGGCATAGGGCTAGCAACCCTACCCCGTAAAACAAATCTAACCGCTAAAGAAACTTCAAAGCACAAACAAAATATAAAAATGAAAACAAACTTATTCCCCGCTGGAATCGGAGAGGCGAAATGACGCCAGTTGGTGAAAGCCTTCCTCCGGGAAGCCAATTGGCCGATGTGTCTTCTCTCCCTCGATGAAAGCGAAAGTAAACGTGGGGACATGGAATATCCGTACCATGTTTGAACCCAGTAAGGCAGCCCAGATTGCAAACGAGATGAGAAGGTATCACATTGAAGTGCTAGGAATCTCCGAGAGCAGATAGAATGGGAGTGAAATCTCCAAACTGTCAACTGGAGAATCAATAATCTACTCCGATATCGTCACCCAGACGACATCCACGAGCAAACTGAGTTATGGAGTGGCTATCATGATGCCCTAACAGCATCGAAAGCTCTCATGCAGTGCGAGCCTATCTCCTCCAGGATCATGACAGCAAGGTTCAACTCAAAAGGAAGAAAGGTCACAATCATACAATGCTACGCTATGCACCTACAAATAATGCAGATCAAGAGAGAAAGGAGGATTTCTACAGACAACTTCAATCAACACTGGACAAGACACCACCTCAGTTGGCGATATCAAAATTCTAATGGGTGGGGCGACATGAATGCCAAACTGGGAGGGGACAACACAGGAAGAGAACTAACCATGGGTCGAGAGGCGCTAGGTGAAATGAATGAGAATGGAGAATTGTTTGCAGAATTCTGCGCATTCAACGATTTGGTGATTGGAGGCAGTGTGTTCAGGCACAAGGATATCCACAAAGCGACATGGACTTCACCAGATGGACACACTAAAAATCAAATCGACTTTATCTCAATCTCAAGAAAATGGAGACGCAGTCTACTTAACACAAGGTCAAGAAGAGGAGCAGATGTAGGTTCAGACCACTCACTGTCTAGTGCAAGGGACCTAACTTCCAAATCAAGTTAAAAGCCTTCAAGGAAGCTGGTGATAGACCTCAGTTCAAGTAAAACACTCGCAAACTGAAGGATGAAATTACAAAGGAGATCTTCAAGGCAGCCATCAAGACAAAATGGGAGACATCGAGCAACATCCCTGAAGAAACCTGTGTGGAAGAACACTGGAAGTCTTTGAAAGCTATGTGGAAAGAAACCTGCACAACAGTATTAGGAAGGAAGAAGAAAGATTACAAGGAATGGATCTCGACGGATACCTGGAAGCTGATAGAGGAGAGGAGGATGGTGAAGCAGAAGATAAACCAGTGCATGGATGCTCAACGACAAGAGGAACTGAGCACAATGTATAAAACACTGGATAAAGAAGTGAAGAAGAGTGCACGCAAAGACAAAAGACACTTCTACGAAACACTGGCAAGTGATGCAGAACAGGCCACTTCAAGAAGCTCCTGAATCGACCGCCACCACCACCTGCACTTCGTCCAGAAATACCACCTGCAGCCGCTGAATTACAAGTGAACATAAATCCTCCAACGAAAATGGAAGTCCTGAACGCCATAAAGCTACTGAAATGTGGGAAAGCAGCAGGACCAGATGAAGTCCCACCAGAAGCATTGAGAGCAGATGCAGAGACAACAGCGGACATGCTCACACCACTATTGCAGAAGGTGTGGAAGGAAGGGAAGGTACCTGACGATTGGAAGAAGGGTTACCTTGTCAAACTGCCGAAGAAAGGAGACCTCAGTGCTTGCAAGAACTGGCGCGGAATCACTCTCCACCTCTGTCCACCCAAAGTAAAATATTAAGCCGCATCATCCTGGAGAGGCTTAAAGACGCACTGGATTCAAAACTGCGACCGGAACAGGCTGACTGCCTCTATTTAGGAAGTACAAATCCTGTGCAGACCAAATTGCAACGCGTCTCTACGCATCATCATAGAACAGAGCATAGAATGGCAATCAGCTCTCTACCTCAACTTCATCGACTTTGAGAAGGCCTTTGACAGCGTCCACCGAGAAGTAATTTGGAAACTACTTCAATACTACGGAGTACTGCAGACCTTTATCCGCCTCATTCAACAACTATATGAAGATGCCACATGCCAAGTAATTCACAATGGGAAGCTCAGTGATGCTTTTGAAGTGAAGACAGGAGTGAAACAAGGTTGCCTACTATCCCCCATGATATTCCTTATTGTGGTGGACTGGATCATGCAGCAAACAGTGGACAGTGAGAAGTGGGGGATACACTGGACTCCGGAAATGGACCTAGGAGACTTAGATTTCGCCAACGATGACTTGTGCCTGATGTCACATAAACTTGAAGATCTGCAGGCAAAAGCTAACAAATTGATAGAAGAGGCAGCGAAGACGGGACTTCAGGTGAATATAGAGAAGACAGAAGTGATGAAGATACCGTGCCACCACCACCACCAACAACAAACTCCAATCACCATTAACGGCAGAAACTTAAAGGAAGTAACCTCCTTCACTTATCTAGGAAGCACTGTCTCAAATACAGGTGGGACAGATGAGGATGTCAAAGTCAGAATCGGAAAAGCAAGACAGGCGTTGATTAGCCTGAAACCATTGTGGAGATCTTCAGCACTCAGCATGCGGAACAAGATACGGATTTTCAACACCAACGTCAAGTCAGTGCTCCTGTATGGTTCAGAGACTTGGCGCGTCACGAAAGGGATTTCCAATAAACTACAGACATTCATCAACAACTGCTTACGCTGGCTCGCTACTGAAGATCAGATGGATTGCCAGAACAATGAGAATAAGCAACAAGGAGCTCTGGGAACGAACCAACCAAGAACCTATCACGCAACAAATATGCAGAAGGAAGCGGGGATGAGGATGGATTGGGCATGCACTGAGAAGGCCGACTGAGGACATCATGCGCCAGGCCCTCGAGTGGAATCCCCATGGGAAGCGACGAGTTGGACGTCCGTGGTGAGGGTGACATGGAGGAGGTCGTGCGAGGAGGAAATGAGAGCTTGTGGGCTGTCGTGGGACCAGGTTCAAAAGATCTCAGAGAACAGAGGCCACTGGAGACGTGCTACTGAAGCCCTATGTTCCACTAGGAACCCAAGGGACTAATAAAATAAATAATAAATAAATACGTCTTTAAAATATTACAATTTAGAGCAACAAATTCTGAGCGGCATTTTTAACGAAAAACTGATTATCTATGAAGAATAATGATTTGATAATGTACCAGTAACACTGGCCACTCCGACCTTGAGTCCACTTCAAACTTTGCGCTTAAGAAACAGCTAACGATACTTTCTAGGGTATTACGTCTGTCTAAATGGAACAGGTCTTCAGCTTGAAATGGTCACAGTTAAGTTTGGTCTCAAAAATCCTGGAAGGTAAGAGAAATAATTTTCAAACAACTACTTATCCACAAGTAGTGCAGCTACTCGTCAGTAAGACGACGAGTGGCTTCTTTAGTATAGGCTTTTTTCTTTCACAGAACTCTAATTGTGCATTTAACCTCGTTTCAAAGCGGTTACGATAACGTTTTCAGGGCGGGACTCCCATAGCTTACATAATGTAACTGCTAAACAGTTAGCATGTATCTTTGTCAGTAATATCTTATTTTCTGTTCTTAAAGTATGACCACCAAGGTAAGATTTTGACTAAGGCTTAAGAACGGTCGATTAGGATGAAGGGCATTATTGGCGGTAGGAAACGCCATGACCATATTCCCGCTTGTCCTCATGTATTGCACTGGTTTAAGCTTAAGAGAAACTATCCGATTCAAGTAGAGTTTGTGCAGTAGCCCAAACATTTTTTTCGTAGCTCTGCTCTGAACCGGCTATAAAATGATGACGTCTTGTGAGAAAGGTGGGAACATATTTAGAGAGCTTTCCTCTGGACTTGTACGGATATATCGGTAAAATTCCAGGAGGTAGATACCCTTGAGTTCGACATATTTAGTATTGAAATATGAATGCCTGCAGGTGTTTAGAAGACAAGAAGCAGATGCTCTTGCTTCTGTGAGAGGGTAGAATTTCGACACCAGCATATTTTGTGGAAAACCGTCCGCAATACTCTTTCAGGAAATGTAGATAAAGTGATGCATTGAAGACTCCCGTAACGTTTACGTCATTTGGCCACTTTAGAGTCGAATAATTAAGCGGGTGGAGTCATTTATAGTAAAATAGCTCTCTGACACAAAGCCACAGAGCACTTCACTCTGGAAGGGAAAAACAGGTTTGTCAAGGTAGGTAACGGTTTGCAAACGTTTATAATGGTGACCCTAGGCAAGACCAAAGAAGGTAAAACGTTTACCAACAGACCTACTGGAAATCTCTTCGCATCGCTAAAATGTGGGCCTTGTGGACTTACCATACCAATGAAGCTGGATCAAGATGATGCCGTCGGAGGCTCCATGGCATCCTAGTTAAAATCGACTGAAACAACTATAAGGAGAAGGCCGACCGTTGACCGTTTGGTGGCACGGGGTTTGATTAGTGTTTAAAAACGTATTACATGCTTGTGACCTGTATCTACATAAAACAGATATGAGGCCTTTTATTTTGTAGTCTTTCCCACGGTTGTACATAAAGATCATTAGGAAGAGTAAATAGGATATGCAAAGAGCTTTGCATCTACGACTTCCCGTGGAAGCTGCGTTAGGAAATTATGAAGAAGGCCTGGTTTTTTCTCTGGAAAGAGGACGAGAACCCGAAACGAGGTTACATCTACACTTAATGACTGACCACTTGATGGATGTAAGGAGATGACAGAGGCAGCGGCCGCACTGAAAATCCGACAAGCCGAAGCGGGAAACCTAAAAATTTTGGGTTCTTGGCCAGTTAACACCTATCAGCCGACGGATCCAGGCCCAGCATATGTATATCGGGGATCTGAATGGGTATATCAGTAGCCTGTTCTACCAACGAAGCGCACTGCAGTAGCTCATGTGAGGTCCCCAATTTCAAAGTCAGACCTAAACCAGATTTTGCTACGGTGAGAGTAGTTTCTTGCAATCCAACCTGTCTAACAGATGAATTGGCGCCAAACTGCATTGGAAGGTGAGTCACTTGCAGCAGATACCTGGTTACGAGGTAGCGAAGCAAAGCCCTTGGCGATTCGCGAAGGTTCTCTGTCGTCAAGTGAGGCCGGTGTTTCTGTAACAATCTGCTGTTGACCGTTCCCCATTATACGCTCACTCAAAATGGAAGAAGTCCTGGATACTATGAGTCAACACACGAGCAGTAAGTCTCGAACCTAGTGGAAGTGGCAGATGTAGAATGCTTGCCCCCGCAGGCCAGTGATAACCAAATTGTAATCTTGTTTGAGTTTACAAAGTAAGCATCGATATGTGCCAGAGGGAAGATATCGAAAGGGTTCGAGGATGCATCTGATTGTGTGGTGTCATTGTCAACTCCTTGGTCTGCTTCTCAAATTTCTTCCCACAGACTAATTTGGATAGACGGGCGAGGTTAAATGTTACCAAACGACGGAACGCCCACAAGATTTATTCGGTGACAGGTGGGGAAACATCTAGGCTAAAAAATCGAAATCAGAAATAAATCAAAATCTGTCGTCAGTGTAAGTTTCTAAGCATAAGAAAAGTTATTATCAACTGATTTTTTTCAGTCGTGATAACTTCTCGGTGTTCAGTCTACAAGGTTTGTTCAACTATGTTTCATCACCAGTCTAGGTGACTTCACGAGCATTTGTTTCAAACAGCGGTAAAGCATCTTTAAATTGCATGAACAGTTATTGAGTACACTTGAAGAATTGGAGCACCTGTCCCCTGTGGATAGAGGTGACCTGCTCTTCCTTCTTACCAGTTGATTACAGCAATTGTTATTATCTTATGGAAGCTGTGGACTTAATACCCGAATAATCATTTAGAAAAGTGATTGACTGAGCGAAGAAATGCATCCCTTCTTAGTTACGTCCTCGCCTTTGGTGTAACACCAGTGTACAGGCTAACAGTTCAATCGACGCACAAATCAGGTGGTGTGTGTTGATAAACAGTTATTTCGGATATAAAGTGAGTTATATAGAGAATTTCAGATGCGAATGACCAACAGAGTAATTACACTGGACTACACATGGTGATTGTTATGGTGTGAAACAGGCCATTCTTTGACAAACGGCATTGTAAACGGTAGGATAAGTGGAGTGTTTTTCGTTTCATCTATCTCCAGTGATCAGTTATACACCGTAAATAATCACACAATAATACTAGAAAAGCAAGTAAATACTGTTAGAACAAGAGGTGGAGAGGTGTGTAAATAAATACCAGGAGTTAAGTCACGTTGATGGCTGTGGTAATGAAATTGGCCGGACAACCACCTTCCGTATGCAAGGACTAGGTTTGTAAAGGGTGGATTGCAATCTTCTGTGTTGCGTGAAGTAATCAAATGCGCAGTTCATGTGGTCAATAAATCGGTAAGGGATGAATGGTTTTAAATGCTTTTCTAGCATCCACTTGATGTTCAGCGTCAAGTAAGTGTGCGAGTATGAACATGTCTGCCGCATTGATTTGTCTCTTACCTACCCGTGGTGGGTGGTGATCCGAAATCCAACAGTGGACCTGTTGGCTAATCTCTTCTTCATAGCCCGTACTGCTGCCCAATCCTCACTTATCTTTTGGTGGGTAACTGATAGGAATGCTATGCATCCAGGAACTCTGATGGAGTTGTGTTTGTTTGAGCTATCCCGAACGTCTTTCATCCCCGCTCTCATACCAAGTGGTGCACCGAAAGATGTTAGCGAATGGGGCCTAGCTGAAGCAGATGGCTCCTTTGTTTTAGCCCAGTGTTTTTCCCCAATAATTCTGACACGATTCTGGGTATGGCGTCAATTAATAATGCTTTTCTAGAGGAATCCTCTGGAACAGAAACAAAGCAACCCTCTGACTGCTCAGAAATTTTGAGCGTTCAGGGTCACCGAGCCCAGGCGGGTTACACCCTAAGATTCCGCTGCTGTTGATCGATATTATTTATGCGCCGCTAGCTGCGCTGTTCGGTTCCTCCTTATCTCCTACGCAGCTACCCATCTACCCAGGTATCGAGGAGATGGGATAATAAGCCCTCCATGCAGGGGAGGTAATAGACCACTGGTCGCTTGTCACTGGCGTATTAGTCTTACTGGATTCGGGGTTAAGATGATCAAGAGCATCCTGCATCACAGGATATCATAGACATGTAGCTCCCTGACACGGAAGCAACATGGACTCTGGTTTGGATGCTCTTGTTTAGCAGACTTTATCCCAGTGGAAAGATATTGGTTGGTGTTGAGGTGTATGAACCTGCGCGAGGCGAGTTGCTGAATAACGTTAGCAAAGCATCCTATAGGGTGTCACATGCAGCTGATGAAGAAACTTCTCAAATACGGTGTTGGCGACGGGACTTGGGCCCAGATTGGGGGAGGCCCAAACGAAAGAAAGCAAAGGGTAGGGGCGAATGGAGAATTATGAAGGCCGTTATATATGGAGTTCGTCAGCGCGCTTTCCGCGGACCAAAGATTTTCTTCATTTACACTAATGACACAGTGTTAGTGCTTGAGTTATCGTTGTTGCTACCCACTGGCGTACAGCTGTATAGGTTCATTCATGGTCGTTTTAAGGCCTCACCTCAAATCAACTTTTACGAGTTGGTTTAGCGGTCTTAACGATGGAGTCCAGTAATCACTTCGTGTTGGCATGCGATATTCTGGTATGTATTCAGTGAACACTCTGACGGTTTCTTTGACCTGGTCAACAGGACCCAGGAATGTTATGGTTGGCTGGTTATATCTCGGTTACATCACAGAGCATCAAAATAATTTGACAGAGATACTTTCTGGATTCCACGCCTATTTTGTGTGAGGCATAGCGTGTGGTATCATATTTGGATACATATATCATCCTTCGAAAAGGGAGCGGATAAAAGAAAATGAGCAGGAGGCCAGCAACTAAGCAAGTGGCATCTTGCCGCACTCCAACATGAACAACGCCTAACAAACATAAGCACGCTTTCCGCTTGGCATCTCGAGGAAGGAGGTAAAAAAACACCCATGCGTCCCAAATCGAGTGACGGTAAGGCTTATGTGGATATACACTCTAGGACAGATTGCCTCACGGGCGAACAAAAGTGCACAGGCAACGATCAAATCATCTACTCCCAGAGGCTCGTTCCTCGCACGGAGTCGTGTGCTAGTGGAACTTTCTACCGGAAAACAATGCCCGAACCTTCTGTTTGTACCTTCGAGGCATGTCTGGATTGTCGCAGCACTGCTATCCGCAAACAAAGGTATAGTTTGCTGGT